ACATATATACAGTGTTATCTTCATTTTAGATGTCAAAAAGTATTTGCGGCTCCCAGTGTTTTCTTTTGCGTGGAAACCGAGTCCAAATGGCTCTTTGGGTGTAAAAGGTTGCAGACCCCTGGTTTAGCCTCAGCTGTCTATAAAACCATAAAACACAAAGATTGTTGCAATCAATTTTATAATTTGGTTCTTGCTTTGTGATAACACTGGAGGAACAACATGATATTTACATCAATGTCGGCATCAGTTAGATGCTGGCTAAATGTTAAGATAATGTGAAGAGGAAAAACAGAGCCGTTTATTTGAAGTAAGAAAGATTTCTTTGTGGTCCTGGTATAAAAGAGGGAATAAACAAATACAAATGCAGAATAAACAAAGAAAAAAAACTTTGGCTATGGACAAAATTGATTAAACAATCATTTGTGTTGTTGCAGAATTTCACAATCATTGCACCCCACTACCTTTAAACCACCGCTATGTTTGTTTTATAGTGTGACTCATGCGTTATACTGATATTTCTAACGGGTTAAAAGTCATGTAAGTGCTTGTAATTTTTCCAGGAACAAAGTGGCTCCCTGAACAAGAACATACCACCTATTGGTAAGGCCTTAGCAGCTGTGTACATTACACTGTGATATTTTTGTTTCTGATGCAACTTTATTTGACATCTCTGTGTCTACAATGTCTAAGGTTGCAAAAGTAGGATATTTTATTTAACAAACGTTATTATTTATCAGAAATTAATTTATAGCATGTTAATGCACATACAATCCTGATTATCACAGTATTTCATAATGTGTTAAGAGTATAAAAATAACAAGGTGGAAACGTACACTTTTGGCTTAACCTGGGAATTATATGTTAATGCATTTGTTTATGATTCTTCTGTCCCCTAATTGCAGGTAGTAGTGGTATAGACCACAAACCTCATGGAGCAGACGTCTCAGGCTTCCTCCATGAATATCCAGTCTGTGTGTCACAGGACAGATGGACAGTGAGAGGAGAAGAGGTGATAAAACAGACACTAGGGCTGTGCGATATGACCAAAATCTCATATCCCGATATAAGAATTCCGATAACAATATAAATCACAAAAATTTAACATTTTGGTAAATTCTGTGAATCTCGGGCAGCTCGACTTGCGGGAAGTGTTTCCAGCTGCGC